ACCTTGAATATAAATTTGGGAAAAACTATAGTTTAACAGGAGTTAGCAAATAATCATAAAACTTTGGGAACTGTTTCATCTTCCACCTTGTCAGCTCAAGAGTTCTTAGACTCTTGGTACCATTTCTTCTTAAAATGTTCTTCTAGAAGTGTGGGAAACTGTTGCAAAAGCCCCCAGCACTGTTTCTCTCCTTAGCAAGGACTGTGTCAGAGGTTTCTTCCAAAGGTGATCATACAGCAAGGACAATAGAATGAATATGACTGATCTGATCAAATGATTTAATGTGAAATGTTAGATAGTCAACTACTATGATCCCTGCAATGGTAATGAAAAAGTGGTAGTTTTCTTTAGATTAGTTCATTTTCTTTAGATTAGAGTTTTCATACATGCATATAGGGAGCTCTGGTACTGTAGTGCCTTAGGCACTTGACTGCTAACCAGAAGGCTGGAGGTTCAAATCCACTAGGCACTCCTTGGAAGGAATGTTGGGCAATCTACTTCCATAGTGATCCTGCCTCAAAAACCCAATGAGGGATGGCACATAACAACAACAACAACATGTGTATATAGGCAAACACATACACACATAGGAAAGTCACAGGAGGAAAATGCACCAAATGTTAAGTACATCTACTCCTCATGTTTTCACTATCTCATTATCTGACATTTCAACATTTACAACAATAGCAAAAAGAAAAAAATCCATTATCCAACTATTTTGTGCATTAATGACATACATCTTGCAGTAAAGAACACTGAGGTGCAAGACAATAGTAACATTGGTTGTGATGATTAAGGTTATGTGTCAGCTTGGCTGGGCCGTGATTCTCAGTGGTTTGGCAGTTATATAATGATGTAATCTGGCAGCTGTATAGTGATGTAGTCACCCTTCATTTTGTGGTCTCATATGGTCATCTTCCATTTTCATATAATGACCTGGTTTTTGGAAACTAACCATGTTGATAAGTGAGGAATGTGTATATTTTTGAATGAGAAAATTATACATTATTTTTCTTTTCTTTCCCATCCCTTTCATATTTCTAATTTTCTATAATTACTATGTATTATTTTTAATAATGAGGAGAAACAAGTATCTTCTTTTTAAAGTCTTTATTATTTCATCAAGTGAATGTAATGAAAGTAAAGCATTCTGATTCTACATATACTGTTCACACAATACAGAAATGATCTCCTCACCCACCAGAAGCAGGAAATTCTGGTAGAAACCATGGTCAATCATGGCCAATAGTTTGTGGTCAATACTCTTCAGAAAAGGGATAGTAAGGGTCATCAACACCACTGAAAAGAGAAGGAAATAATATATCAACTCTTTCTCCGTGCTCTCAGAAGAAGATTTCTCTGGATGTGTAGTAAGTATAGGTTAAAATCTCTGAATTTGCTGACTGGCTGAAGTTTTGGTCCTGACAAAGTTGCTCTATAATAACCGAAGGTACTTGTATGCTGCATTTTCATGACCACATTCCTATCTCTATTCCTTGTAATGCAAAATGCAAGATCCCCAGTCCATGCACAAATCTCAGGCATGCCCAGTTCCCGCAACTGCATGCACATAAACACCAAATTGACATGCAACTTGCTTTACATTATAAATTATAAGAGAGTATCAGAATTGTGGCAAAAATATCTTGGTCACTCAAGCTTCAGCTGTGCTTTGTCCTTAGATGATGAGAAAGATGGCTGTAAGGGTTGTGTTGCCCTTTTCCATTCATTTATTCAACAAACATGTTCTGAGCACCCTCAGTGATACAGAGTCCTTCCATTAAGGAATTTATGATATATTTGAGACATAAGATGTATAGCTAAAGAACCTTTCATACAAAATGTGACTAATGTGTTCTTAAGTCTAATTCATAAGAATACTTATTACTCAGTTACTACTGTTTGCTTTCTCTTTTTTCTATGCTTCACTTTCCTTTCTAAAATCTGTGGTTTTCAGTTCAATTGCTTTGAATAGTATATTCTGAGAAATTCTGTGTGCTGGGAACTGTGCTACTGGCATAGTAGACTAGGCATTCACAGCCAAACAAAGGAGATCATAGACATAGTTCAATTCCTTTGGATACAGAAAATTTACTTCCCATCTTTTTTCTGATTTGTAATGTCTTTTCTCTGAATCATGATAATGTTTTCACCAACAGGAATGGAACATTTTTTTTTTTTTTAATCTTTCTTCTGAGGTTGAAATCTTTAGTCTTACTACTAAAATTTTATTTTCTCTTATCTCTAAACTCTCTTCCTAATTTCTCCCAATTTGGTTAGTGTTCTTTCTTCTCAATGCTGAGATTCTGCAATAATTAAACAAGTGGAATGCTGTTATTATCTATAAACCAAAGTCAATGGATACAGACTTCTCCAAGGCTAGTCTCCTGATGGACAAGACAGTGTTAGAGTAAAACAATTACTGGAAGAGCCAGAGAAATTCCAGATATCTACTCAGTATATTCACTGGGGACACATTAGTCACTATTACTTTAAGGTCAACTAATTTAATGAAACATTTAAAATTCAGCTTAGTATGATGATGCACCTGAGAAAATGGTAGGTGTGATCAGGAAGGAAGGCCAAAAATAAAGTTGGAAGAAATAGGTGTTGTCTTTGAAGGAGAATGTCCTATTTAGAAGAAATGCCCCTGACAGGGGCATCAAGCTCAACTGGCATTACCTACTACACAAAAACATTGTTCCACATCCTACTTGGGTGAGTAGTGACTGGGATTTTAAAAGCTTGCAAACAGCCATGTAGATGCAACGATGGGTCTCTCCTCATCCAGAGCAAAGAAGAATGAAGAAAACCAAAGACACATGGAAAAAATTAGTCCAAGCAACTGGTACACCATGCAATCCTCAGCCTATATGACTATGAGACCAGAAGAACTAGATGGTGCCATGGTGCTTGGCTACCACTGCACTTGGTGGGGCCCTGTGCAGGAGATTCTGCACAGAGAGGGAGAACAATGTGGGACAAAAGTCAAAATCACACACAAAAAAGAGGGGGACCAGATTTGCTGGTCTGATAGAGCCTGGTGGAACCTCTAAGACTATGGCCTCTAGCTGCCCTTCAGATCTGGAATTGAACCCATTCCTATGGCTTCCAGCCAAACAAAAGACAGGCATATGAGCTGAACATTTACATTAGGTAGATATACTTCTTGGAGAGATCAATAATGGGAAAATAGAAGGGCTGTGCATGTACAAGGAGACAGCTCGGGGGGCCAGGAGTACATGGGAGGAAAGGATACAGATAAGAGGTAATTATGCAGAGGAAGTGGGAAGAGAGCTGTTGCATTGTGGAAAATTGCAGTCAAGGTCATGAGACAAAGTGTATGTGAAGTGCTGTATGGAAAATGAATTTGCCCTGTAAACTTTCACCCAAGTCACAAAAATTAAAAAAGAAGAAAAAGAAATGCCACTGAACTCTTAGAGGCAGAAGTGGAAGCAGGGCTGCACTATGACTTTCATGGGTACCAGGTGTCTTTGCCTTCATGGTCCTTTCCATAAAAATTATTAAGATTATGTTTTTCTGTTTGGTTTAAGACAAATGCAAACCAGGATAGTAGATTCATGATTAAAAAATCAAAACCAAACTCACTGCTATTGAGTTGATTCTGACCCATAGCAACCCTGTAGGACATGGTAGAACTGCCCCATAGGGTTTCCAAGGCTGCAGATCTTTAAGGAAGCAGATTGCTTTTTCTTTCTCCCATGGAGCAGCTGGTAGGTTCCAACCATCAACCTTTGGGTTAGCAGCCCAACACCATAACCACTGTGCCGTAATAACTCCCTTAGATTCATTATCACATATTCATTATTACTATATTCACTTTTGTCTTTGGATTTTTACATTTTCATGGACCCCTAAAAGTATCATGGACCGTAGGCACTATGGACTTCTGTGCCTAATGGAGAATTTGGCCCTCAGTGGAACTACACGAGGCACAGGTTGTAAGGGCATAAAGAAGTGAATTCACAATGACATGAACTTGGGCAATTTTACATAGTGTAGGTCCTGAATCTCACTCACAATTCTGATGGTCAGAGATAGAGCCCTGTGAGAAAACTCTAACTGGAAATTCACCTTTTCCACTCTTATGCCCCAAATCAGACCTGTTTTTTGGATTTAGAGAAGCCTAGTTTCTCTGCTAACCTGCTACCTTCTGAAAACAGCTGGTCATAAACAATGACAAGAGTTACTTACAATGCTATTTTAATATATCGATAATTTCTGTTGAGGCCATCAATTGCTTTCATATCTCCTGGGGTCAACTGAAAGTCAAAAACCTGAAAGGAAGAAAACAATCACATTAAACTTTCTCCTGAGGCAGTCTACCAAGGCCTGAGTTTCTAAGTGAGGTATGAATATCCGGGAGGAAATGTGACTTTCTAGAGGGACAGAGGCAAGGATAGCATTAAGGGAAGCTTCCATGTGTACTCAGCCTGGGAACTCTGAGTTATGACACTTCTTTCCAACTCCTTCTCCTACTCTGCTTCACTTTACCAAAGAACAGTATACCACTTATTAATCCCATAATTTCCTAAGTAAATTTTTTTGAAATGGAAAAAAAAATTCTTCATTTTCAAACAAAAGGACAGTTGGACAATACTGATGAATCTAGGGTTACTTTGAATCATAATCGACTCAACAATAATGGGCTTTGCTTGGAACTTCACTAGAGCAAAATTGGTGAGGTTCTGCTGGCTCCACAGGTCATTAGACTAGACTCACCCTTGATCATAAACAAGCATTGGAATGTAGAGCAACCCTTTCCTAACAATCCCTCCCGAGAATCCATTAATCTCAGGGGAAACACTCCCTGGTTCAATAGTTGAACTTGAACCACACCATCCCACTCACCTTGCCCATACTCAGTTCTCTTTGTAGCCTTTTTTATTCTTATCTATAAATAGAGAACTCTTTCTGCTGTATGGAAAGTGAATTTGCTATATAAATTTTCACCCAAATCACAATAAAAAAAAAAAAAGAAAGAAAGAAATATTAAAGGCTCATTATTTCATCTAGATGACAATTTATGGAAAAACTCAGTGTCCTGTCTGTCTAGCTCGCTATCTACACATTCATCCATTATCCATCCATCATCCATCTTTAAAATATACTTCAGAGGAGATATGGTTGTCATGGAGAGATGTATAAGTATGTTGAACTGAATTTAAAAATAAGATGATTTTTTTTTTTCTGATTAGTTTTACAATGACCTGAGGGTTTCCAGCTGCTTCATTCCAATTTGACCCCTTGCTGAGAATTTGCATTTCCACCCTATATGTACTGAATCAGAATCTACATTTTAACAAGAGTCTTGTGTATACACAAGAATCACCTGGGGAGCCATAAGAATCAAATGGGGATTTTGTTAAAATATAGATTTTGATTCAGTATATTTGAAGGAAATACAAGTTCTCAGCATGAGAAAAACTAGAATGAACTGAATGACATTTAGCTTTGCTAATTAGATATTTTTCATAAATTGAGTAAACTAAATCTATAGCTTCAAGGTTTTGAACTAAATGATGATGTTGTTAGGTGCCGTCCAGACATCTTTGACTCATAACAACACTACGTACAACAGAAAGCAACACTGCCCGGTCCTGTGCCAGCCTCACAATCCTTGCTATATCTGAGCCTGTCATTGCAGCCACTGTGTCAGTCCGTCTCATTAAGGCCTTCTTCACCTTTTCAGTTGACCCTCCACTTTACCAAGCATCATATCCTTCTCTAAGGAATGGTCCCTTCTGACCCACATGACCAAAATAGGTGAGACAAAGTCTGGTCTTTCTTCCTTCCAAGGAGCATTCCGGCTGTACTTCTTCCAGGACAGATTTGTTAGCTCTTCTGGCAGTCCGTGGTACTTTCAGTATTCTTTGACAACACCACAACTCAAAAGCATCAACTTTTTTTTGGTCTTCCTTATTCATTGTCCAGCTTTCACATGAATATGAGGCGATTGAAAATATCATGGCTTGGGTTAGACACACCTTAATCTTCGAGACATCTTTGCTCTTCAACATTTGAAAGAAGTCTTTTGCAGCACATTTGCCAAGCGCATAAGTTGTATGATTTCTTGACTACTACTTCCATGGGTGTTGATTGTGGATCCAAGCATTATGAGATCTCTGACAACTTCAATCTTTTCTCCGTTGATTGTGATGCTTCTTATTGGTCCAGTTGTGAGGGTTTTTGTTTTCCTTTCGTTGAGGCATAACACATACTGGAGACTGTAGTCTCTAATATTCACCAGTAAGTGCTTCAAGTCATCTTCACTTTTGGCAAGCAAAGTTGTGTATCTGTGTATCACAGCTTGTTAATGAGTCTTCCTCCAATCCTGATCCCATGTTCTTCTTCATTTAGGGCAGCTTCTCAGATTTGCCCAGCATACAGATTGAATAAGTATGGTGAAAGGATACAATGCTGGCACACCCCCTTCCTGATTTTAAACCATGCAGTATCCCCTTGTTCTGTTTGAATGACAGCCCCCTGGTCTATGTACAGGTTCCTCACAAGCACAATTAAGTGTTCTGGAATTGCCATTTGTGGTAATTAAGTTTGTGTGTCAACTTGGCTGGGTCTGGTTGAGTGGCTGGACAGCTGGTTGTACTTTTCCCCATGATGAGAATGGTAATCACCTCGATGGTGGAATCTACTGTGAGCAGCTGAATAGCTGCTTTAGAGATATGGTCTGCTTCCTGTATATAAGGAGAAGCCTTGGGGATGGTCTCTAGCTTATCGCACACTTGAACCCTGCATGTAGCTGTGTGGTTGTCCAGCAGCCTGCCATACTCTTCCAACCTTGGGACTTTCAATGGACTTGAATTAATGGCCTGCCATGTGGTTTGGTAACATTGGGACTGTGCCTTATTACTTGTCAACCTTGGTCTTGTCAGCCTCAGCAGCCAGCAGCTGAGTGAAGAAAAGCCTCCAGCTTCTGTGGGCTGGGAGCAGAAGGCAGAGCTGAAACCCATGGTTGAGGAGCTTTTACCTAGCCCCTAGAGCCTGGCACTTTGAACTTGGACTTAAAGCCTCCAAATTGTAAGAATAAACTTCTGTTCATTAAAGCCATCCCATTTGTGGTATTTCTTGTCAGAGCAGCACTAGGTAAGCAAAACACCGTTCTTCTCAACGTTATCCATAACTTGTTATGTTTCACACAGTGGAATGCCTTTCTTTGTCAATAAAACACAGGTAAACATCTTTCTGATATTCTTTGCTTTCAGCCAAGATGCATCTGACATCAGCAATGATAGCCCTCATTCTATGTCCTCTTCTGAATCCAGCTTGCATTTCTGGAAGTTCTCTCTCAATATACTGCTGCAACCGTTTTTGAATTATCTTCAGTAAGATTTTACAAACTGAAAGAACTGAAGAAAAAATTTAAGCCTCGAGTTGCAATA